AAAATCCAGTGGTTCAAGTCCCATTACCACTCTAATTTTCTTTTAACCTAAATCATTACTACTGCATCTAAGTATTTTTGAAGTGAAGTGAAGCAAGATAAAGCTACACATTTAATGAGATCAACACTATAAGGTAACGGAAGGTAATGCCGACGAAACTTAAAGAGTTATTGTAGGTACCCCGAAAGACTGTTGAGTTACATCTTGTAAATTAACAATGGGAAATGGTGAAGCGAACGAGATCAGAAACATGATTATAAAGAAACATGAAACTAGATGGTACTATCGACAAAAGCTGAGACCTTATTTTTTGCTATTTCACTTTTGAACAAATAATACAAAGTAACGATAGAGTTCATGAAGATGCGTGTATCATTTTGCTAGTTGCAAGTATTTTGATAACCAGTTGCCTAAGCTTGATAACTCGATACAATTGACCCTATAAAATGAATTTCAATGAAGTGAGAAATGACCAAGATTTACTCTATTTTAAAGCCAATATGTTTACATACCAGGTTAATTCCTTCTACATTTCGATAGCTTTCTCTGAGAGTAATAGCTTGGGAGTCCTCAAAAAGACACATCTATTTTGTGGGTACTTAAAAAGCAGATAATTACCAAGATTTACACCTAATTTTGATCTTTCTCATCAAAAATTAGTAATTTGCACAACTTTTGTGTATTTTATCCCTTATTTTTAATCGGATGAACATTTACCATGAGTCTTAAAAAGAAAATTAATCAACTATTCCATCAGTGATCTACGACTAACAAATCTATCCCTTTTAAAAGCAAAAGAGCAATAAACTGACTAAAGTAAGAAAAAATCTTTTTATTTTATCAGCTATTCATAACCTGAAATACTTTAAAACCATCAAAACAGGCGGCTAAACAAATTGTGGAGAAAACTCTATAGCTCACTTTTTTCTGAAGTAGGTGTTTATGATGTTGTTTAGAATGACAATGAAAGTTCCACTTTAAAGTCATACAGCTCAGTGAACATAGCAGCATCAAAATTTTATTATAATTAGAATGTGGGTAATTTCACTGAATGAAAGCTAACCCTTAGATAAGATAAGTTAGTACTGACATAACACAATTCAGAATTATACGAACTGAAATAAACTTCATTTCAATTATGTACATCATCTGATAAAAAAGCTACAATATTTAAAGATCAGACCAAAATTACTGCGGTACTAAGAAATTCAGATAACTATTGTCATCTGTTGATGATATGTGTTATTTCTCAGAAACAATTAACCCACCAAAGCAATGATATACTGATGTGGAAGTTTATTAAAAGCTGTAGATTCTGAAGCCAGGATGGTGTAATTAAGCAAGAGGAACTAAGTTATCGAAGTAATGAAAAAATAAAAACTGCTTCCATTCAAGTATATGAGTTTGCCTTCAGTTTGATGATTTCATTAGCATGTAGGTTATCGATGCAGGTTTCAGCTGTTTGTAATCTGATTATCTACACATATTTTATAGGGTCAACTGTTTATCTTGGATTTTTCGGATCTGTGACAATGAAAATACCAGAAATGCTTAGTCATTTAGTGATAAGGTGTACAAAATATATCCGTAAAGCTTAAGGTGAGACCTCTTTCTTCAATATATTTTACCGTTGAAAGAATATCCGGCGTACTAAGCATACGTAAACCCATTATTATGCTGGAGGTAGTTTTATGCCAGAAATCTTGTTATGCAAAAAATCTTTGAATCCAACCAATGAAATTCAAGTTTCTGAAAGTTTTAAGAAGCTACTCCCAGAAATATACCTCTCTTTATTTTAATTTAGTAATACTTCCAAGTGTTGAGCATCATCTTTAGTAAATAATTTGAAGAAACATTGTAACAACTTCATTTTCTTGGTGTTAGAGGCCGAGAGTTAATCGGTGGGAAGTACTGAATCTACTTTTTGTGCTTGAAGCAGTCATCAGCAATGTTTACCTGTAACCATTTTGAAACCAATGTTTCTGCAGTAAATCGAATCTTCTCCATCCGTCATTTGAAGTTAGAGACATAACAAACGAGAAATTCAAGCCACTTCCGACCGACTATCTGACAGGATTACGTACCCGAGTTTGTAACCTATGTTCAGTCCTTAGTGCTTACTCCCGATCGAAGTCTTTCGATCGAATTTCGCAGACTAGCAGATGAATGAAGTGGTATATTGCTTTTACTTCATGAACCGAATTTGAATCACGTGAATTTGAATCCATAGAAGTTTTAGCTTTATGGTTTCATCTAACCATATAAGAGGCAAGCACTTATTTGGCTGATGTATAAAGGATTATGAGTATTTATGTTTACCTAAAGCACTACCAATCAAACACTCATATGACAGTAATCTGACCAGGCAGCGTGTAGTTTCTTATCATCCTCCCACCATTAGGTGCAATAAATATCTATTTGAGGTAGATAAACTTCGACTCAGTTTACAATGTCTGTCAAATGTTAAAATATCTACATAGAAGCACCCGACTACCGATGTTTTGTCTTTGAAGAATTAAGAGAAGTGAGAGGAACATGCACTGAATTTGATACTTGCTGAAACCTCTGAACTTGATTCACTGATTGTTTTGAACATTACACCGAACGCAAGCAGAACATACAAGGCTAGGTCAAATGACACTAATGAACAATGAAATAAGCTTCTGAGTCTCATTCTCTTCATAACTGTCTCAAAGCTGTTGATTACAGTGATTTAGCATTATACCAAGAGGAACATTTTGATTATCACATCGAAAACATACTAAAAGATCGTTTTAGTCGCATGAAAACCAGACTAGTCGTATAATCCGTCTGATGACATGTTTAGAAAACACCAGAAATACGTAATCCAGAATGACAATGAAAGCTTCAAGATTAAACCACCCAGCTTAGATAATACACCATCGAAATCATCCTCCAGAGCTATAAGTATTCCCTACCATATCAAAGATGAAGATATAGTCATAATTACGCTACTTAATCACACAATTAGGTAAAAGAATCATTACTAAGTATTGAGGGGAAATTATTTTGATGCGCAAAGTGTATGCAAAGTAAACGTATGAGAACAGAAATAATTACGCCTAAACCGATTTCTCCTGATACCAAAAATACAGCAACACAAAGTCTATTTCTTATTATATACTGGTATCAACTGGAAAATCAGCGATTAAAAACAATGGTACATTGAACTGGGATTTCATTCTAGTTTAGAACTTTCTAATCAACTGTCCAGTCCACTCAGGTTTTTAGTGGTTGCTAAAATGGCACTGTTCTATCTTGAAAAAACACCTACAAATTAGTCAAGAAGCATCGAGATGATAATAATAGCATTACAGACAAATAGTAGACTGTTACTAAATATTTATATTGTTAGGAATTGAAACATTCTCCACTTAACAAAAAATCTTTAGTTGTGTAGTTAGTTGTAGACAAATGAAATCATTATTACTGAAATTGGTGGATTCAAGAAGTAATGTAGACTGAAATAAATTAAATATCCTGTAAGTAATTTTTAAAAGTCTATCTGTAATAATAAGTTGGTTGATTTATAATTAACTAAAAGTGTTTCAACATTGCACAGATAATTAGGATATGTTAACAAAATTAGATTGATTTCAACACAGAGTAACAGTTTCATTCTTTTTGAATCTGATTTGAACTATCATAAACAGTTGGAATTGCATTGACAGAATGATTTCCAAAAGAAATTTTATAATTTATTTGGTTTATTTTTTGGAAAAGGGGAATGGATTTAAAGATAATTTTGCAGCATAGAATAATGCCTATTAGATAATCATTGAAAAGCTTATGGATTTCCGGCTGTATCTATGCAAGAGACTATTCTGAATAAAGCTCAGAACCATGAGATCTGATGCAGAGTGTATTATCACTTATCTATTTGGTTAGAAACCAGCATCAGAAAAGCAAGATAGCCATTCATTAACCTGAAACCAGTGTGGAGATCTACTGCACTCAGCATAAAGAACAAAATCCGGATTTTCAACACCAATTCAGTCAAGTCAGTGCTTCTATGTGTTGGCTGAGAGACTTGACGGGTCACGAAAAGCATTTTCAACAAGCTACAGACATTTGTCAACAGCTGCCGCCTACGCTTACTCAATAGTGAAGATCAGATAGTCACAATAATAAGAATAAGCAACGAGGAACTCTGGCAACGAACCAATCAACCCAATAAATATGCAAAAGAAAGTGGAGATGGATTGAGGATACACTGAGAAAGCCAACTGAGGACATCACGCTCCAGGCCAGGCCGTCGAGTAGAACGAAGAGTTGGGCATCTGAGGGTGACATGGGGATCGTGTAAGGAAGAAATGAGAGGTTGTGAGCAGTCGTGGTGCCAGGTTCAAAAGATTTCAGAGAACAGAGTGCAATGGAGGCGTGCTACTGAGGCCCTATGTTCCACTTGGAACCCAAGGGGAAAATAACAATCAATAATAATTTGATTAGAAAAGAAAAAGGATATTCATCAGTGACACTGACTGGCTTTCATGCTGTATCATAATGTCTATACCATTACAACTCGAACCAGTGAATCAATAGTAGTATGTTGTGTATGACATGTTATTACTTGTAGGATTACTGGTGTACACTACTAAGAAGCTTGAAATCAGGATTCAACAAGATTTACTGATTTATTTCATTGAGTAAAGGTTTTAAGAAACTTTATTGATATCATAAGCCAATGATGAAAAAATCCGTAGTAGTTACGAACAATAATAATAGATGAGTAGCCTACAGAAAGCGTACATATAATACCTATTTAAGTAGCACACGTTTAGTCAACATGAGTCTTTTCATGAGTATCTACATAAGTGGTCGTGCTCGATGATAGATAACACTTGTGGATTCTTAAGCAAAAACACGTTATGTTGATCATATACTTCATTAAACTCAAACTGATGTATCAAACCAATTTAGGTATCATTATTAATGAAAAAAATTGCATGATACTGTTAAAAACTTGTTCATATACTTACATAATATTATCTGGATCCCAGTAAACTGAATGTGTTTGAAATGCATTACATTCAATATAGGATAAAGTTATAAATTTGCTAAAAATAAGCAATACAATCCACAAAAAATGTGTTCTGTTAGCTTTTATAAATCTCGCTTTAAATATATAGAACAGTTGCATCTAGCTAGCTGATTTGGTTATTTATTTATTTGTTTAAAGTGAACAGTTAAAATTAGTAGTTCTTCATTTTGATATAATAATGTTATTCTTGAGAATTTATAATTTCCACTGAAAACATCATAATTTTATTCTTCTTCGTTAGGTATATTGAGATTACCTTGATAATTGATAACCGTATAAAAATGTCAAATAAATCTTATTCAATAAAGTTTATTAAAAATAAAACGACATTTTTAAAAGAAATCTATATATGTTCATTTCAGCAAAACGAATAACTCAATTTACCCACCACCCAATGAGAAAGCTAATTTTTGTTTGTTTTTCTGATATGAAAAAAGCAACCAATCTAGACATTTTATTTTGAAGTCGAATGATTTCATGATCATTTTATTATTTTTGTAAATATGATTCCAGTTACTGACAATTGTTATACACTTAACTAACACTAAGTTTGGTATCTCAGAATTTAACATAGATGTGTCAGCCAACGTCGGTTTTAGTGAACTTCGTATTATTACTCTATACAGAACACGATAGAATCAGAATTGAAGGCATTTTATATACATGAATAGAAAATAATACAGCTCTTACCTAAGTGAGTAAATAATAGCTAAGTTGTACTTAGCGGCTAATATTACAATCCATGACGCCGTTTTCGCCCTATTTAGGACTCATCAAATGGATGCACCTACGCTCCAATGAAGGATGCTGTTCCTTTCGACACTCAAACACTACCAATATCCCTAAATGCCGAAAAGTTGTCCTCTTAACCACTGAGGCAAAACAGCCACCACTTGTGCAGTGGGTATTAGTTGTTGTTTATTGATACATAAGTCAAAATGGCCGACTTCTGTTGGTAGGTGAACTTCTGAGTGGATGAATCGATACTCCTCGGATATTCATTAGATTGTAGTTTACTTGACGGTTAGCAGTGAAATCCAGGACATGCTTTTCGTAATAAATATTCACGCAGTAACGAGGCATCCTTAATGGAGCCGATCTCCTAAAGGATGTTGAGCATTTCAACCCACTATAGACACGTGAAATTACACGTATCATTTAGGAATAATAGATATGCATTGGTGGGCCATATTTATTATCTTAAGAAGGGGAAAACTCATAAATAAAATATCACACCGTATGACACTGAAAGTACCTATGGTATGTATGGATAATTTTACTCTTCTAGAGAATTGAAAAGATTCTTTCAAAATGTACATCCATAACATTTCGAATTTATCATTTAACTTTTAAAACTGACCAGTAAGAATAATGGCAGTTGGGATAAATGATCAATCAAAAAAACGATCCACCATAAAGTTTAATTTCTACAACTTTGGATAGTAGTATTCGAATGATAAGAAGAATCCCAAGGGCTAAGTGTGCTAATGGTTTCGACGCTAGGCAAGCCTCTTCATAACAGTTCTTGCAACGCTTAGCAGTCCAAAGCTAAACTGCAGTTAAATACCATGTATCAACAAGTGTTATCAAATTAAATCAGTGTCAAATTCACTTTACTTATTATCGGACAATATAAGTATTCTATATAATTTGTCACACGAAAAACAACAATTCAGTTAGTAGAACCTCATTTGCAGTCATTCCTAAATCTCTATACAAACTACTTTGTCCATTTCTTCATCAATCTTTGGGCAGCCAATCCTCTGATTCTGCCACTGCACTTCAATTATACCTACGGTGGTGTCTACTCACTGACTGATTCCAGTGTATATGGGAATGACAAGTATTCATAATTCTTGTTCGCTGTATGACTTGTAAAATCAGCATGTAAGTTAATGACGAAATATTCTGTTTAATGAGGAGCTATGAGATCTGACTGTCAAACAGGTCTCTCCATCAATTCATTCACTGAATATTTCATCATTATCAATTAATGACCACTTTCTTTACCTAGATGTGTATTCCAGTCTCAGTTCCAATAGAGTGTTATTCTGATGACGCATACGGTTCTTGTTGTAATCTGATTGAGAATCAGGCTTTATTTCAACCTTGGACATCATCTTCATATCCACAAATGTCGTCCAACATCTAAAGCATATGTGTTGTGTGCAAATATTCGTTTTAAATTTATCTATACTAAAATGATTCATTTCACACCGTACAAAATTCAGTGCAAAAACCGGTTTTTCAGTACTGCATTTCTCTAGTTCATCACTACTTTCTACTATACATCATAACCTGTGATCATGGTTCAGTCACTCCAGGAGATATTTGGGTGTTTGAAATGTTTTCCAGATGTTAAAAGATTTCATGCTGTTAACCGACAAATTTAGGTGATTTCAGATTATTAGTCTGACTTTTACCAGCAATATCATTGAGTATTGAGGAAGAATATAAGCCTAAGTCCCTCCATATGCAGTGGTTAATATACATTCTTTTCAGTTTCGCAAGATTTTTCCACCAAAAATGTAGCATCCGTTGGCGAACTGTAGGTGATATTTAAGGAAGACCTCGGAGGACCAGTTCCTATTTCACAAATCAACTTTTAAAACATTTTACAAGTATATTTAAGTAAAATCAACGTCAATAGTCAGTGGCAAATATTATTGGCATGATTTGCTGAAAAAAAGCTTAAAGCATATAGCAAAGTAAGTAAACAGTTGTCAATAAATCGGGAACTGATGTATCATTACCTCAGCTGGAAATCTACGTCAATAATAACCAGAGTTAGGCAAGCTTAACAGGTTATAATAATTAAATGTAAATGAGGGAAGGTAATAAAGAAGTTGTTTTTCCACTTCTGTATCGATGAAGCCCAAGTAGTTTAGTTTGGATACTTTCTTATACCATTCTAAAGAAATTTCTACATTCTGTAGACCGTCTTAGACATTATAAAAAAGAGAGATAAGATAAACTGTTCCCATTTAAGTTGTCACATTTCGTTTTAACATTGTAAGGTATCAGTGACAGGAAAAACAAAATATGATAGTGACCTTACAAGTAATCCTGAAACTATCATAATACGAAAAGTAGGAGAATAAAAAGTTACACTTAACGTTTCACCAAAAGCTGAATGTCTACTGTCAGTCAGAAGTTGGAGGACAGGATTGTGGATTGAATCATTTCCACATTATATGAAACGTATAGCCGTCGACTTTAGTAAATCTATCTTAGGGCATGACTGGTCCTACTATAGCAGATGACTTTATCAACATACATACATGGAAGAAGTTGCAAATAAGATCAACCGAAAAATAATTAACACAATTATTACGTTCCATATTTACCGAAACAAATAGCTGATTAAAACGCAAGAATGCAGCTTCTCGCAAAAATTGATATTCTAATACCTGTTTACTTGAGTAAATATTCACCCAGCAGTCCAATCAAACTTGATAATTAGAAATACACTTCCTGTATAATGTATCTAGCTTTTCAGCCAGTCATTCACAACTCACTGAGACTGAGAACCAATCTGATTAGTCATACAGCACAGAGAAAGATTATGAAACGAAAGCTGAAGTAACTGTCAAAAAACAGACTATGATAGTTCAAAGTCAGTTTGTTTCCTCAAAGAAGAGAATCATAATTAGCTAATATTTTCTTGCCTGAAGAAAACTCTTTATTTGGGCAGATGATTTTCATTATTTTGACATTTATGCTTCCCAATGAATGGAAAACAGATCAGAATTGTTTTTATTGATATGTTGCTCCATAGTGTTGACACTTTAAGCAAGATAACGGCGAACAACAGTATACAACGTCAAAGGTCATACATGGTCACTCCATAAAAATTCTTCCACAGTGGTTTTCAATATTAGTCACTCTGTACAGGTTATATACCTTAGATGTAATTAACAGAGTGATCAAAAATCCAATATCAGAGTGCTCTGCAAAAGCCAAACAGGCCGGCAAACATCTTAGCTCATGTGAAGGACTAAGTTCCTTATGATTCGCAGCCGTACTAAGAAATGAACAACATATGGCTTCATTTCGTTCTCAGAGAAATCCATTTGATATGAAGAAGCCTGAGGAATCTTCGGCAATAGCTCAAACGTTAATATATCTAGCTTCAAGTTCAACATTGACAATTTTGAAAATTGTTTTGAGATTAATGGAGATTTCGTGTTTATGGTGGCATTCAGTCGGAGAACCAGTGGAAATGCAGGAGTACTGTACAGATATTTCGTCTTAGAATGCGACCCCTTAATAAATTGTGAACCAGTGAACTCCAACCCAGTGGCTGAACGGTTAACACTACCGTCGTTAAACATGAGGCTCCTGAGTTAGGTCTTTAGTCGGGTAGTAGGTGTGTACTGCTGAAGAGGCCCATACTAGGACGAAACGGTTGTCCAGTGCTCCTAGGTTTTCAGTGGTTCTCCAACTGGTGCCAGTTCGTGATGAATGGCACCTTAAATACTGAAATGTTTAGAAAAGGTTTTAAAAGTTACAAGGAACTAAACCTGTCTGGGTGAGAATCAGCAAGCAAATCAAAGCTTGACCAAGTTTTAAGTTACTAACACAAATTGAATTCATCAACTGATGTAAGATAGGAATCATCATCACATGAACAAATGCAAAACTACTACTGCAATTCATATTCCTATCACAGTGAACACACAACTCATATTCATTATTTTTCAACCACTTTCCAACACAAAATCAGCGTCTCACTGGAATTCTGTTGAGTCGCAGTGCATATACTTCAGTTGTGTAAGTTGTAGTCAGCCATTACTATGATAAAGACAGTAGCAGTGATTAATGGGACGTCAGTAAAAACAACTTTGTCTTAAATTTTTATTTATTAGGAAAAAGAAATATCAAATACTGAACCTGAAGACATTCGTTTTAATGGTTATACTGCTTCATATTCTTTAGCTTCAGTAGTAGTGAAGGTTTCTAGAAGTTTGAAAAGGTTTTCATGACGAATGGTCCAGTATTGATTTAAAGAAAAAACCACTGACTGGTGGGAACAATTATAGGATCCAGCGAGATAGACTCTATATATTTCCATTATCGTAAACCAACAGTTAGCGACTATGTGAACCACTGACAAATGTTTTGGATAGTTATAGTAAAATTTCTGTAGTTCTTTCAGCTCACCTAATCAAAATAAATATGTCCAAAAATGATGGAATAGAAACCGTTCACTGCTGTTTTTTTAGGTGGACCGTCGGATATTAAGCAGATATCTGACCAGTTTTGTGCAGTGACTAATTGCAATCACTGATGGTATGAATATACGGGAATTTTAAGTGCATTTAA